GAGAGAGAGAGAGAGAGAGAGAGAGAGAGAGAGAGAGAGAACGAGAACAATAGCTACTCTTCCAGAGGACCCAGTTTTATTACACCCACCAGGAAACAGCTCAGAACTGTCTATAATTCCAATCCCAGGAGATTTGACACTTTCTGGCCTCTAAGGTATTCATATGATGCACAGACATATATGCAGCAAAAAAACCCATACACAGAAATAAAAACTTAAAAGTGAATGTGTGTGTGTAGAGAGAGAGAAAGAGACATATCAGAAAGATACTACATAATAAAAGTGTCCCGCACATTTTTTAAGTTTTTAAAAAAATATTGAAAAGTTTTACATGCATTAAAAGACGATAGATAGCATCTATAGTTTGTGAGATCATTGGAGAAGTAGTTAAATTATTTTAAAGACAATTCATAATTTCTTTTTACAGGTGATTACATGCTTGAGGCAAAGCCAAAAGAAATCTCAGAAACTCAACGTGTAAATTATGAACAGGTAATAAACATGACTTTTATATTAAAATATGTAATTTTGTATTATGAATTTACACATTGATCTTTGTCTGTAATTTGCAACTTTTTCTATACAGGACTAGAAAGTAAGTGTTAGGCATTGCCAGCCATACCAGGTCAAGTCTACAGCTTATTCTTTCTTTTCTTTTTTTAAAAAAAAAAACAACTACCTTTAAAAATGTAAAAATCACACTGGGCGGTGGTGGCGCACGCCTTTAATCCCAGCACTTGGGAGGCAGAGGCAGGTGGATTTCTGAGTTCGAGGCCAGCCTGGTCTACGGAGTGAGTTCCAGGACAGCCAGAGCTACACAGAGAAACCCTGTCTCAAAAAAAAAAAATGCAAAAATAGTTGTTAGCTCAGAGCCATAGTTTTTAGATCCTATGCATGAATGTACTAATGATTTATTGGTACTGTCTTATAAGTCTGTACAGGATAACTTGGCATTTTCTTGAAAAATTGATTCTCAAATGAATTTATCATTGATTTATCCTTTCTTGTATCTTTTAAGTGATTATCATTTTTCCTGTGCTGAGAATTGAACTCAATACCTTGTGCATGCCAAGCAAGCACTCTGCCAGTCTTCAAGTTATGCTTAGGAGAAACTTGAGTAAATGTTGCCTGAGATGTCAGGACACAGTCTATAATTGTATAATTTCAACAGGTCCACATTTTTTGGTACATCCTTTTGATATCCTGTTCTGTAGTAAAGATACAGTAGGAAAGGCACACTCCCAAAGCTGGGAGTAAGCAAGCAAGCCTCATTTTCTTCAGTATTCTTTCTATTTGTTAATAGAAAAAGAAATTAACTTTTTGGGGTTTTTTTGGGGTTTTTGTTTTGTTTTGTTTGTTTGTTTGTTTGTTTGTTTGTTTTTGTTTTTTGAGACAGAGTTTCTGTGTAGCCTGGCTGTCCTGGAACTCACTCTGTAGACCAGACTGGCCTCAAACTCATAGATCTACCTGCCTCTGCCTCCCAGGTGCTGGGATTAAAAATTAACTTCTTTTTGTGGAAGGAAGAGTCATCACTTCCACTGTGGAGGAAATGAACATCACTGGGGATTCATTTTCACAAGCAATTGAGCATGATAAAAACCTGAGCTGCATAGAGTTTCATGCCAACCAGAGCTACATAATGAGAGCCTGTCTCAAAAGCCAAAGGAACAAAACAATAACCAGGCCCAAATGCACATCAGGAAACAAAATTCATTTCTAGTTTTCAGAGTTAGTTAGTTGGTTGGGTGGTTGGGTGGTTGGGTGGTTGGGTGGTTGGGTGGTTGGGT